GGTTCTGGGGGGGTGGGAAGTGGGAGGGGCAGGGGCGGGGCTCCTCCCGTCCTCTTTTTTGCTTGCTGAAATATGGTAACCCTAGTGTTCAGTAATAACCCTACCATACGTAGAGGTGATTCCATTAACACATATGTGAAGTCCAATTCTAGATATTGGTGGGGATGTAACACATATTGAAATTATGTGGCTTGATCTATTGTAAGCAGGGTAGGCCAGTAGCGGCCTAAACCATAAACATGGATCAATAGAATGCAGGGAGACAAAGAAAAGCAGCAGATTGCAAGAGCATATGTACATGCATGGCATGTGTGTGCAGGGGAGTGGCGAGAGAGAAAATGAAACCCCCATTGTTCTAGGTATGCAGGGTGGGGAGAAGAGGTGAACCTGGAAGGATTTAGAGAAGACAGAGAGCAAGCAAAGGCATTATTTTACTCTGTGTGTGTGTGGTTCTCCCCTCTTGAATATCATCCCAAAAGCCTGAAAACCATAACTCCTGTCCTCACCAGGTCCTTGGTCAGACTAGGAAGGGACACTACCATTTGGAAAAGAGGACACAAACTACAAGCTTTGATAAACTTGTAGAAGATGCTCAGTTTAGCATTCTTCTCAGGGGGTGATTTTTCTACCATTTGTAACTGAGTCTCCCCCTTCAAATTAGCAAACTTAACTCATGAGAACTAGTCATAACACAAATGAGATGGGGGGGTTCAGTCATTTTAAAAAAGTTACTGTTGAACAAGAAGATTGTAAACTGCTGAAAAATTTTATTTCTTAGCTCTCCCATAAGTCAATATGGGCAAACTGATTATCTTCAAACTAAAAGAACCAAATACATATTTTCATATGAGGTGAAATGGTTTTACAATTTAACATAAGTATCTAAACTGCCTCAGTAAACTTTTATTTCTTTTTTAAAACCAGTAACATAAAAACAAAGAAATGCTCACAAATGATTTGAAAATGCATACCTTTAGAGTCATGAACAATGCCTCACACTACAGTCAAAAGGTGGTTTCCATATATTTATTTCCCCTTTTGTCATCCCTCCTGCCCTCCCATTACACAAAATGCAGACCCCACCCAATAAACAGATTCCTAATTGGGGTGACGCTTGTTCCCAGGTGCACTCTGCTAGGAACCTCACACCTAGCACTGAATAGTATTGCCACCCCTATTATGGGGGATTTAAAGAAATACTTCCATGTTTTTATTTTGTATCCAAGACCCCCATATAATATTTGTACTTAACAGACATGTATTTGTATATTTAAAAACTGAGTACTCCTATACCACTCCAGACTCCTGAGTAACATCTCTTCTAACCAGTAGGTGGAGGTAGACACACATTAATGAATGAAGTGTAATTTTTGTCATCTTCATCTGATCCTGAACTTTCCCACTTTGAAAAAGTGTTTCCCAGCATTAGATAACAGCATTTTACAAACTTACCTTCATTGTGTTAGCAAAACTTTCCCTCACATTTAAAAACAAAACAAAAACAAACAAAAAATATCAAAAGAGGGCAGAAAAAGGAGAGTCTCAAACAGTTACTGAAAGTTTGCAGGAATTCATTTTAGGTAAGTACACATTACAGTTTCTGCTTCATTTCTTTGCTTTTTGGGATTTTATCTACATTTGTGACATTACACATTTAAATTAATAATCTAATATGTGATGACAAACCACAAAAAACAATGATTTTAATAATGGTGAAATTTGTGTGATGCTAATATCATGCCCAACATATGTGTCTTCTTTCCTGTGATCACTTGAAAGTTGGAGGCTAAGACCAATCTTCTCTGCCCATTTAGCTCTACATTAAGAATACAAAGAAATGTAAAGCTACATTTTTTTGTACAGGTTTCAGAGTAGCAGCCGTGTTAGTCTGTATCCGCAAAAAGAACAGGAGTACTTGTGGCACCTTAGAGACTAACAAATTTATTTGAATATAAGCTTTTGTGGGCTACATCCGAAGAAGTGGGCTGTAGCCCACGAAAGCTTATGCTCAAATAAATTCGTTAGTCTCTAAGGTGCCACAAGTACTCCCATTTTTTGTACAGTAACTCCTCACTTAATGTAGTTATGTTCTTGAAAAATGCGACTTTAAGCGAAACGATGTTAAGCGAATTCAATTTCCCCATAAGAATTAATGTACTAGGGGGGTTTAGGTTGCAGGGAAATTTTTTTTGCCAGACAAAAGACATTATATACATATACAGTATAAGTTTTAAACAAGTTCTAATCAGAGGATTGTCTGGGGCACTGCTCATGAGCTCCCTGAGCTTCTCCTAAAGCAACCGTGTCGATATCAGGTGGGATATTTCCCAGGGAATGCCTTGCTGCTAAATGATGAACTAACACTCAGCTGAGCCCGCAAGGCTTAATATGTTGTTAATGTAGCCTCACATCCTACAACGCAGCACCAAGGGAGGGAGGAGACACAGCATGGCAGTGGCTGCAAACACTTCCCTGCGGAAACTGAACGTGATGAGGAAAACACACTATCCCGCTGAAGCGCACCACTCCCTCCTCTGGACGGCGCATGCACAGCTGCAGAGGTACAGACTTTCCAAAGTGCCAGGGATGGGGGGTATTCAACCCCCAGCTCTGCCCCCAATCCAGCCCCCTCACCCCGAGCATGCTGCATCCTCACTCCTCCCCCGTCCCCCATCCCCCCCCCGAGAGGGAAACAGCCAATTGCTGCAGGCAGGCACAGGAAGGTAGGGGGGAGTTGCTGATCTGCGGGGCCCACCCTGGTCCCAAGTCCCCACCCACTAGCAGGTGGCGGCCAAAAGACATTATAAGCAAACATTGCGCAACTTTAAACGAGCATGTTCTCTAATAGATTAGCGATGGAACAATGAAACAACATTAACCGGGATGACTTTCAGTGAGGAGTTACTGTACATGTCTGTTTTGCTCTGAAGTCTGTTGATAGAAGTGTGAAGTCCTGAAAGTGTTTGAGCACAACTAATTCAAAGCCTCTGAAAAAAATGTTAAAATTTGCTGTTTATATTGATATGGACTATAGCCATTATTTTGATAAGAAATGGCCCATATTTTTAAACTGGAGTGCCTAAAATCAAACTCCTAAATTCATACTCTGATACCTAAACACGTGGTCTAATTTTTCAAAGGTGCTGGGAAAGCTGATCTACTTGTGAAATCAATGGGAGCTACAGGTACTCGATGTCTTAGAAAATTAGGCCACTTTTATGCAGGTGCTATCTATATATTGAAGAGACAAGCCTTAGATATCTAGGTTTGAAAAATGTTGTCCAATTCCTTTTTTTCAGGTACAATTTTAAAAAATAATTTAGAAACAGCCTGCTGTAAAGTGAATTTAGATCAATTTTTGGATGATCATTCAACAGAATAATTTTGTTGCATACCTCTCAAGGAAGCATTGCAAACTAAATTAACTTTTACACTTAAAACATACTGCTTTTAAAAGAACGTGTCACCAAAAACTGAAGCACTTTAAATGTATTCACTAAGAATTGAGAAATCTCAATTTAAATCTACAACCAAAATTAAAAATTGGAATGATTTAGATTATAATGTTTTATGCTTAACATATGTCATTACTAGAGCTGAGCAAGTAATACATTTTTCAGTTTGCAGGCCAAACCAAACAAATTTTTAAAATGGTTTTGTTTCACCTGAACAATTTTTTTTTCTTTTTGTTGATTCATTTCATTTCCAGTTGTTTTACCTTTTATTTATTTTTGAAATAAATCCAGCTAAATTTCTAAAAATGTTTCAAAATGAAACATTTTGTTTTGAAAATGTTGAAAAGATGTTTTGACTTTAAAAAAAATCCCTTTTTTTAGCCAAAACTATTTACTGAATTCTACATGAATTCACAAATAATTCTGGTTGCCCTGTAACTGCAATTTTGGCAAAGAAACTATTCACATGAAAAATGTTGCCCAGCTCTAGTCATTACTCAAATAACCATGATAAAAACCAAGGAGGAAACTTACAATTCGAAAACCATATAAAGCATTCCATCTGAACTGTATGTCTCCAATAATTCAACAATATGGGGATGCTTCAGCATGTGACAGATACTGGCTTCCCTCTTCAGATCTGTGGAAGATAATGAAAAGTGTTATATTAGTTTCCTTGATCACAAACTGATAGTACAATACCAAGAAGTTAAAGATCAATTAGTAAATTAAAAAGGACATTCTTTGGGAAGGTTGACATCTGACATTATTTCCAAAATAGTCTTTAGCCTTTGTAACCAAAATTGGCAAGAGAGCAATGAGTCACTTTCTCTTTTCTGAGAGACTGTTTTTCTGGAAAGAGGTAACAATTTTTCTGAAACATTAGTAAAGGCACAAAATCGGATCTGTTAGTGGGAAAGTACAACAGCAGCTGTTATTTCTTTTTCTAAAGTATAGAATTAGCTGATTATTTAAAAAACTATACACCATATTTTGAAAAATTGATTTACTCTACTACATACTAAGGTTCATTAGTTTTGTAATACCCAGCTACGCATGTGTAATCCATGCTTCTGTCACTCTTCCTTTAAATGGTAGTAGTCAGGTTTATTGCCAGAAGAATACAACAGCTGTCCATTGACTCCAGCCAGTCTGGGCTAGAGGGGGGTAGGGTGGCCAGACAGCAAGTGTGAAAAATCAGGACGGCGGTGGGGGTAAGAGGCACCTATATAAGACAAAGCCCCAAATATCGGGACTGTCCCTATAAAATCTGGACATATGGCCACCCTAGGTGGGAGTGTGGGGGGGGGCGTAGGTAGTCAAATCCTTGGAGCATGCTCAGTAGGACATTTCCAAGGGTGGTGGCCAACTCCACTCCCAAGTTTATAAGAAAAAAAAGGCATCAAACTTCAATTAGTTGAGACAGAGCCATACCTGAGGGGGGAAAGAGATTCCTCCCCTGAGGGCTGATGCTCACGCTCACAGGCCTGCTTTTACTAATTGCAGCAAGAAGATAACCACAAGGAGAAAGATACCAGCCTATTCAAAGAACTGGGTGTTTGCTGCTTTTTCAGCTCAGGACAGTGTGTGGTGACATAAATGCCAAATCATTGGTGCATGTTTTAAATGCTTAGGATTTGTGGCCTATGTACTTTTTGGTACTGAAGAAATCTGTATGTTTGATGCTATTATTTTTCTTTGCATATTATTTGTTGTATTGCTGTAATGATAAAATCATGTTTAGATTTATGAGGAGTCTTAGTTAACACTCAAATTGTCGTCTTATAAACAAAGTTTTTTTGTTTTAGTTTGTGCAGCTTTACTACATTGTTGTTTTTATCCCAAACTGGGGCAACTCAGGCTACAGGCATCCACGATGGTCCAACTTTGCATATTTATCTTATGTATTATTCTCCACAGGTGGATGTTCTGCTGTCAAAACAAACAGACTGACTATTCCTGCAGTAAAATGGAATTACAGTGGGTACTTATGTAATCAAAGTAGTACAGCAGAGGCCATTCAAAATCAGTCTCTCCAATCATTCCCCCACTATTAGCACAGATATACTCAAAAGATGCTTTGATGAATGATGCATTGGCAAGTGCTGACTTTTAATGATCAGCACTGTAAGAACACAGTTTTGGACACGGCAATTACTTTTAATTTAAATTCCCAGTTACGATCATTGAGTACATAGTGCCTCATTTTGATAGGTTTCGGAAATGTACCCTGGAACACAAAAGCTATGTACAATCAATAATATTTCCTTTATTATTTACTCAAATAACCTTCAGAACAAATAATAGCACTTGGAAGCTTAAACAATACATAAACACTTCAACTGGGAGAAAACCAAATTAAGTTTGAAATCATTACTATATCCTCTGGAAGAACAGCTCCTTTTTGAAAACAACACAAGAGTGTGGATGAGATCCTCAGCTCCACTCTGGTCCATTTAAGACAGGTAAAACGGCTAGCGCCACTTAAAGGGCTCTAGGAATTCCAGCTATCACTAAGGAAGAATTCACCCTGAGCAGGAACAGAAGAAAACAGCAGGCTCAGGACCCCCTACCAAGCCGGGAAGGGAGGGGTGTGTTGGGACGGGGCTGGAAACAGGCGGAGAATGTCAGGGGCAGTGCCCAGCACTGCAGAGATTCTGAGCAGTGCTACAGCCAATAGGGCAGCCCGGAGTAACTGCAGTAATTTAGCCCCTGGAGCAGCCCAGGACTGGGAAGCATCTCTTCCCTCTGGGAGGCAAATTTGTGCTTCACCTCTCAAAGGCACAGCACAGACTCTTACCCACAATTTCTTGGGGTCAGTCAAAGATATTTAATCCAGCAATATCCAGAAACTGCACGCTACTCTGAAAAATTGACAGACATACATACATACAGATGCTTTAATACCATGGTGGTAACTGTAGTATAAAAACCTAGATAGGGACCCACCTCCAATTAAGGATGCACTCACTGTCTCTGCAAACAAACACACACATATTTTTCAAGTCAACTTTAATGAAGCTGTAGATTGTATGCTAGTCAGGATTCTGTGAACGTTCACCTGAGTTTTAATAGCATGTTTTAGTTGAAAATAAATGAATTTTGGATTAGGGGCAAACGTGATTTTTTTCACGCAAGTCATTAATGTCCAGTATCCTTAAGTGACTTTCCTATTATATGCAATCCTATACAGTCCCTACAGAGGAAGGGGGGTGAGCAGGCAGCAACAACTGCAAGTGAGTGTGATAGAGTAACAGAATGCTGCAGGGGCTGGCTGGCTGTCTCAGCCTAGGAGTAGGGGTGCCTAGGCCAAGTGGAACTTACCCAAAATTTGCAAGGGAAGAACTCAGTTTAAGTAAGATTTGTGTGTAGGCCTTTTTTTGTTACTTTAACCCATTTCTCTGACTACTGTGTTCCTGTTAATTAACACTTTGTTTTGAAAATGCTGAACTGTATCACTGCATATATTTTCTGGTCATAAAGCTCCTAAGAGAGAAGGTTACTGAAAGAAGCCAAACCAATTTGGTCTTCCTAAATGAGCCATGGTGAGAAATCGGGGCGCTGAAACCTACGGATCCAGTTTAAGAGTAGCAAAGTCATGGGACTCCTCCTTAAGTGCATTGGAGGCCCAGAGCCTGTCCCTGCAAAGGGTCACTCATGAGAGATTGCAGAAAGGTACAAGAAATAGCACACACTGTGATCCATGACAGACACATTCCTAGTATTTTACAAATATGTATGATTTAGATTCTAGAACCTCAAAAAAGGCACCATCTAGTTATGCTATATATGGTATGTGTGAGACACACCACCCTGGAACTAGGTACTTAATTGATGTGCAAGACTAAATTGTAAAACTGTGCTTACTCTAATAAATGGAGCCCCACCCTGCTATTTTGGGTCCTATGAAAATCAGCTCGCACAGACATCAGCCCAGAAACAGCAACTGAGAAAAGTGACACAAAATAAAATGGTTGACAATTCTGAGCCAGGAGCCCATCAGGACTCTCCAGAAAGCAAAAGTACCCCCAGCACCCCAAAGGTCTGCCTAACTTGTATGCCTGAGAAGCAGCCAGCTGGTGATAGCCAGGCTAGAGAAGAGAAGGAGGAATGACTGGGCTAGGAGCTGTACTGGCACACCATACCTTAGAATGCACATGGCTAGAACAGTCCTGACATGCATGCTGAGCCCAGCACATTGCTTGGGGTAAGGCAGTTGGCAGTATCAGGAGGAGGAAATACAGCCTCTCAAGTTGCTTTTGGTCAGAAAGGTAAAGAAGTAACCCTAATTGTATTGTATTCAGTTTGGAGGATTGTTATTTGATAGAGGAAGCAACTGATTATTGCTTTGGGAATTAGTTATTTCTTTGCATACACCAAATTACTCCTGACTCCCATGCTTTTTTCTTTTATTCCTGACTCTGCCTATAGCCAGTCTTTTAATTTCATGCTTTCATTTCTCCTAAAAATGTGTTGTTGATTTCTATAAAAGACAATAACTAACTGCCTTAAAGGGCATCTGGGCTGCATATTTATTTATTCACCTAGACTCTCACAGGAGACACTGTACCTTATCCATAATTTAACACAATCAGCAAGTTTAGAGCTGCTACCTGCATTCAAACCAAGAAGCACAAATAACCCAGGGCCCACTGGTTCTAAAATGGGCCACAGAGACACTTAGGAACAAATTGATTCTGCTAATCTTGGAGAAATGAGGCCAGAGATTTTTGGGGGTGGGGGAGGAAAAGGGGGAAGAGTTATGGCTACAGAAAATTATTTTTTAAAATTACCATTTAGGACTGATCTCTCAGCATCAGATTTAAGTACAGCAAAGTTTGCTAGTGTTCATAGGAGCTTAAAAATATAGGATACTCCAGAGAAGATTATACTCCTGAGAGTTACTTAGTAGTGATAAACATGCTAAAGACTTCCTTTCCAGAAAAAAAGAAAACAAAACAGGTACATGAACAGTTAGAAAAAGAGTGACTTGTAAGATCAGAATGAGTCTCTGGGCACAGATGATCTTCTAATCTACCACCAGTTCTAGTTCTTTAAAAAACATTAATGCCATTTTATTTATAAGATTTTATATTTTGGTTCTGAAATATCCTGGACCTATAGGGAATTCTTCAGGAAATCTTAAAGGAGTATTAATCAGTCTTAAGGAAGAGTTGCCTATTGCAGATAATTGCCTTAAACCTTTTGCTGCTACCATGTTGTTGTTTTTTTTTTTAAATAGAGAGTAACAAATCTTAGAGTCAACTTTTTACAATGCATCCACTCAGAACAAAAAGAGATGGGCGAACCACTCAAAAATAAGTACTTTTATTCCATTACTTGAAAATTAGATAAGTCTCTCTTTCCCCTGTAACTTTCCACCATTCCACTTACTCCTATCAGAAGTATTTATTGGGGAAGGTGGCAGCCAACAAGTTAAATAAAGGTCAAATAAATTTTGGGAGAAGCCAGGGCTTTTGGGGATGGTAGGAGCTGTGTCAGAAGAAGGGAGACTATGGCAACTTTAATGACTGAGGAAGAGGAGAAATTCAAAAGATTTGGCAATTCAAATTAGCACCAAAACTTTGGAGTTTCACCAGTCAAAGCGGGCGTATTTAACACAATGGCTTTCTTCAGACT